AAAAAAAAAAAAAAAAAAAAAACTTACCATCACGGCGAGCGGAGAACCATACATCAAGACAGTGAAAACTGCTGCGAACAGTCCAATAAAAGAGCTGCGTTTGTCAGGTTCTATACACAAAAGGACTCCAAATACGAAGCAAAAGACGAAGGAAAAAACGCCAGCGACCATCTTCACAGCACGCTTCTGTACACACAATATAGAAGGATAACAAAAAAGACAAGCACAGGAAACAACAAATCGACAAAAAAAAAAAAAAGTTACTACATAACAAGCAGCAAATAAGAAGGGAAGGATGAAGGATGAAAGTGGTGTAAAACTGAAGCAGCTATAGATAAGAAATTAAAATTATATTAAAAAAAAGAAGAAAACAGTTTGGAAAGCCAGGAAGGTGTGTCCAAGCAAACAGGGAGGAGGTGAGCACCCTCGTCTCATCAATCGCCAAGGGAGACTACTTAATATTCAATATTTGTTAACATTTAATGTGTCATTTTTTTCTACTCCTTATTAGATAAATAGCTAGGCTACCAGAGTGGCCCGGGACCACTTGCCTGGCCGGGCAAAAAAGAAACAAAAAACAATAATAATAACAATCATGGTTACCAGGCCGAACTTTCGGGGGCCCCCGGGCTGAACCCCGAACGTTCGGGCGTTCGGGGGCCGAACCTGAAGGAGTTCAGCCTCTGCCAAAAATTATTTCGGGGCCGAAAAATAATTTGTTTTGTTGATTTGTTTTTTGTGAGTTCTTTAGGACATGCGCTACACACATAAATTTTCAAGGCATTTTGCCGAGCCAACAAAAAAAGAAAAATAGTCAAAGATGGCGGTGTTAAAACGTGCTCGGCTACTCAGATTTTTTGTTTTTTCAGTTTTCACTTTTTGTTGGGATTTTATTTTGATGCCTCAAATATTTACTTATTATTTATTTATTTTTGTTACAAAAAAAGGAGTATATTATATCATCACAGGCTGGGAAACGGGCCCAGCGTCCTTCACATCAATAACCACGGCCTGCAGGGATGAAGCAGGCTCTCCAGCCTGGAATAACCCCTCCACGGCTGAGCACCCGTAAGCCTGCAACGTCGCACCCTAATTAACTGTGATTAACATCACTGAAAGGCCTTCCACGATTCAGACCCCAAATTCGGATCTCAGGGTCAGATGCCCAAGTCAAGAAAAGGCCGAGTTTGTCAAACTCAGAAAAGTCACAATCAGGTACCTCAGCAGTCTGGTCCAGCAGGCACCCAGCAAACAGTCACATCTCATAATAAAAGCCATTCAGAAGAGTCACAAAGGCAGATTCACCAAGCAAAAGTCATGTCTCAAGACAGGAGTCACGTTTCCTAATGAAAAGTCATATTGAAGAGACACATCCCATGAGTAAAAGGTAGTATTACAGGCAAAAGTCGTGACCCACAGGCAAGAGACACTGTCCACAGTCAAAAGTCATGTTCACAAGTGAAAAGTCATGACTCAAGGGCCCAAGCAGCAGCAGTCCAATGGAAATTCGGGAAGCTTCCAGGCCTTGACATTCAGTAGCAGACAGGCCGTGGGGATGTGGTACCGGAACCAGACAGGACCCAAGAAATAGAGGCTGGCACGAGTTGAAGTGCAAATCAAGACTACAAAAGGACTGGCCAGCCTCACATTTGGGCAGATTGCTCATTCGCAAAGAGTGTGGAAGTGCTGGTGCACTTGTGCGCTAATGTGAAGGGCAGAGCGCTGAGGCCAGAGTCCTGCGCTAAGTGAGGGAGAGGAGAAGTTAGCGCTGGCAGGAAGAAGGCAGCCATAGCTGCGTCAGTGCAGAAGTGTTAGTGCTAGGCGTTAGTAGTAGACTCCAGAGGGGTTAGAAGAGTTGACAGTGGGTGTATTCAGAGTAGATCTTTGAGTAGAGGTTAGTATGAGTGTGCATGCATGTAGGGAGAGAAGATACAGTGAGGTCATAAGCTAGGGAGAAGACCAGCAAGGAGGGGTGATACAACAGAGAGAGAAGAGCACAGAGGAAGAAGATACTTACCTGAGAGTTTGTGCTGGATATTGGTTACCTTTGACATGCGCTGATGAGCGCTGGTGACTTGGAACTCTTATTGCTCTTGTATAACTTGTTGGAATTCTTAAGCTGCGCTATCTGGTCTTAATCTCTCTGGTCTTCAGTGTGAACTTTGTGTGACCTCATGCATGCAAGTGGTGTGAATGTGTGCACTCATTGGTGTTGAACTGGGAGGTTCGTTGCAATCACACCCTAATGAACTGTCATTAACATCACACCCTAATAAACACAAATTAACACCACTAACTCTAACACTAAAAAACAAACCAACTTAGACCATCAAAAAGAAAACGCAGCCAAAGATCTACACCTCCAACACTAAACGCTTGAAAAAACCAACAGAATTCCACCCAACAACAAGAAAACAAACAACAAATGATTGAACCCAAACCGGCTCTCAGACAAAGAAACAAAAACCAAATACCCACTACACACATCGACGTGAACTAATTAACCCTCATACTCTGTACAAGCAAAAAGAACCAAATAATGATGAAGAGTTCGCGAGCTACACCACACCCAAAGTAGGAGCATCAGCAACACTAAGGGACACCGATCGCAGCTTAAAGCCCGTTGTCAACGTGGTGGGCGATACCGGTCACAGCTTAGCTCTAGTGTCGCTCTCCCGTAAGTCGGCGCTCGTCGATGCACACACGTCTCTCATCTCCCCATGAAGCTGCAGCGTCTGACTCCATATCAAAGCCAGGGGACAAAATCCCTGAGAGATTTCGCATACTGATATGTACGGCGCCCAGATTCCGCCCTTCGGACCACCACACATCTGCTCCTTCCTCCCGTAGTCTCTCCAGGATATGGCAGAAGCATTTCAATACTTCCTCAAGGCAGTCCCCACCCTGCGCCCACGCACCTCTTCTCCCCCACCGCCTCCGCCACCCTAACCCTAGGCTTTGGCACCACGCAGCACTGATCACAGCTGCACGAACGCAATCCCCCACAGCCCCGGCGCTCACTCCGATGAAAGAATTCAGAGGCGCTAACGCTAACGCTCGAGAGCACTAGCGCAAGCACTAACACCCACTACCTTTTGGGGCCACATAAAAATTCTTTGCCAAATTAAAAAAAAAAAAAAAAAAATCAGAATACCTCTTCATTTTCCACCCCCCCCCCCCCCCCCCTTTTTTGGCCGGGCCAGGCAAGTGGTCCCAGACACTCTGGCAACCGAAGTTGTGGTGTATTTGGAAAGAGAAAATGGAGTTAGAGAGGCAAGGGGAGAAAACAAACACCACCGACTCTGGGCCCGTTTCCCAGCTTATATTGAATACCATGGCTACAGCGGACCTCGACACCTGACCGATCCGGACCCAGACAACCAGTTGGGAAGCTTTCCTCTTTTTTTTTTTTTTTGAGAAAAAGGATCAACTTTTATTAACAACAAAGCCGGGAAGCTTTCCTCTTAGCTCATGGTTTAGTTGATGTTTTTTCCTGCACTGGAGATTTCCTTTTCAGCTCATTTGTGCATCAGACGTGATGTCCTGTTCTTTAGGATGTCGTCCTTTTTTGTACCCGGTAGAGTAGACGGTTGTCTTTTTGAGCTTTCTTTTTGGTTCATGGATTACCTGTGATGGTTTTTCGAACTTTTTCCCCTCAGATGGTTACAGTGCATCTTTTCATTTTTTTGCTTCAATGTCTAGCCTTTGCAAGGAACATGAATGTGGACGAAGCACAGAAATCCAAATTGCAAAATCACACTGAAGTCCAAGTAGTCAAAGCAAGAGCAGATAGCACAATGGAACCGAGTAACCATCCATTTGAGAACGATACAGAAGAATCGTGAGTCAATGTCCAAGCCCAATCGGGCAACACCAACAGCATAACCCAATGTAGCTCTCTCTCTTGAATGGCGCCAGGCGCCTTATCTACTCTACAGCCTAACACTACAACTACAGCATGGAAGCAACCAGACAACTTGACGACCAGCGAATGATGACGTCAACCCCAATGCCGACCTCCTCTCCACCAGGTACGTCTCTCTCTTCTCCCTCACTCTCCTTTGTTATCCCACACAGCGCCCTTCACTTCCCGAAGAACCACCTTCGCCCTCACCTCCCTCTGCGCCCACAGGCAGCCCGGCTATGGCCGCCAGCGCCCTGCGCCCAGGCTGCGCCCTACCGCTTAGCGCCAGCCTGCCTTCACCTCAGCCTAGCGCAGCGCAGCACCTCGCAAATGCGCAGCGTGCCGGCATTGCTCGCAATGCCCAAGATCCCTGCCCACTCGCCCTCTCTGCCTATATGCCAGTGTTGCGTGTGGGCGGCCTCCCTTGAGCCTGCGCCTGGGCCCCAGTACCTGTACCCCGGCCCAATGTGGTTGGGGCCCACGAAATACAGTTGTGCCTCTTTCATCAAGGCCTGCGTCCAGATTCAGTGCGTGGACCGGTTTCTCATTGGCATTTTCGGCCTCTATATCCAGCATGCAATGTCGGCCTCACATTTATTTGCCCAGGGCCTAACCAATTCTGGGGCCCTGGCCTTTCTGCATTTGCAGAGATCCGGAACTCGGTGCACTCCAACCAACTGGCATGCGGCAACTGTACGGACTCCACTTTGTGAAATGTTTGAACAAAGTGGCTCTCGTTGATTTGCTGGCCCGCCTTCACTTAGGGCGGGCACGAGGCTTGCTGGGGGCCTTAGCCCAGAACATGTACATCACGGCAAGGCCCCTTTGAGGGCTCAATCCTCACATTCCATCCCCGTTAGCTTCGAAAGTCCGCTGAGATGCTTACTTCGCAGGTGCCTTCCCTTTTAACATCCTCTCATATTCTGCCACCACTTGAGGAGCTGTGTCAATCAGTTCCTCTCTGGTGAACCACCGATCTTCTTTTGGATCCGTATGATGCCTGAATCTGACGCGATATTCTCTCTTGGGTTTGGGAGGTCTTCATCTACCCAGTGGCTTCGGAACAGGCATGTCTCTGTGATCCACAATGTCGTCGATGTCCACTTGGCCATCCATGGTTGGGGGCAGCATCGATCTCCTTGAAGGGATTTGATCTGTCTCAGCGAAAGGAGCAAGCTTTGAGGCATGAAAGACAGGGTGAGTGTGCAGGTGCCCAGGGATACGGATAACATAGGTAGGACCATCCATCTCATCCCCAACTATGTCCAGAACTTCCCAGGGACCAAAATACTGAGGCATTAGTTTTTGAGAGATACCGAATTCCTGTCCTAGCTCACTAGCCTTGACCCAGACAAGTTCCCCTACCTAAATTGAGGACTGTCGACGATGTTTGTTCTCAGAAGCAATCATTGCTTGCTGAGCTTTCCTGATGTGCTCGACAGCTTGTTGTAGCAACTTCTCATACTGCACACCATACTATAGTGTGCCCGGAGTTGCAGAGGGTCGGTTTTCAGGTAGGAGGAAGTCCAGAGCTGATTTAGGCTTCCATCCCAAGTGCAGCTGATTAGGACTAACGTCGGTACTGCTGTGTACAGCGTTGTTGTACAGACTGGCGATGAGAGGCAACTTCTCATCCCAGTCATCCTGGCTGGGCTTGATATAATGCCTCAGCAGGTGTTGTACAACTCTGTTCATCTGCTCGGCCTGTCCGTTAGCTTCGGGATGATTCCCTGAAGTCATCTGAAGTTGACTGCCCATCTGTTCAGCAGTCTTCTTCCACAACTCACTTGTGAAGCGGACATCTCTGTCACTAACGATTGACTTTGGTAGTCCAAAATCACGCATCCAGTTGTCCATAAACAACTTGATGACGTGTTCAGTCCTTGCGGTCTCTGGCATGGCAATTAGTCTAGCGTACTTGGTGAATCGGTCTATGATGACAAAGATGTGCCTCTTGCCACCCCTACTGGTCACCAGGGTGTCCATGAAGTCCATGGAAACACTCTGTCCCGGACCAGCCGGGATAGGTAAGGGCTTCAGCAACCCAAGCAGTGCTTGAGTTCGCGGCTTGTCCCGCTGACAGACCTGACAGGTCTCCACATACTTTTTTGCATCTTCTAGCATTCCGGGCCACCAAAATCGCTGTACTAGATTGGCACTCGTCTTTTTGTAGCCAAAGTGTCCGGTTGCGTCATGACATTCTCCTAAGAATAAACTACGCAAACGTTCACTAGATGGAATCACTAATCTCTTAAACCCGGCCTTATCAAGAAAGAGTAGCCCGCCCACCATCACAAACTCGAAATTTGACTCTAGGAAGTACAAGTCTGTGAGAGAGTTGACCACGACCGTAGAGCGGTTGATTGTCGTACAGGGAGTGGAGTACAATCTACAGGTCTTGTTGACCATGTTCTTGAGATGTCTTCCCACAGACATCACAAACTTATTAGCCAGTGAGGCTCATCAAAAGTATCACACTTTTGAGACATTCAGCAAGAAGGCCCTAGACTTAAAGGCTACGTTGGGTGGTGCTCAAACCCCCACTACGGACGAAAGAAAGAAGAAGGCTCCATAAGAGTGGAAGAAAAAGGGTAGTCGGTTGATGATGGTTGATTCCGATGAGAATCAAACTGAAATTGATGATGTTTCTGAACTTGTGGAGAATGCCGAGTTAGACGGCGAGGAGAGTGTTGAGGGTAGCAACCTCGTCGCAGTAGTTAAGACTGAGGCAGGTGGCCGCGGCAAGGGCGGTCAGCAAAGGAGTCAGGGCCAGGCCGCTAACCCAAACAAAATAGCTGCTTGGGTTAGAGCAGGCTTGGATCAAGATGTGGTGGGACCGTTGGTCACGTGGTGCTTGCATAAACTGCGGCGAGTACGGCCATACACAGTTTAAGTGCAAGAACCCAAAGGTCTCGCAGAATATCCCTCCTAAGGGTAGGTATCCTTCTTCTCAGTTTGGGGCCTCTACGAGTTCTAGCCCAGGAAACACTTAGGGTCGGTAGAAGTTGTAGCTGCTTCTACTCTCGTTGAAGCGGGTGATGTACCCTCCCCGTTTCAAGAGTTGGCCGAAGCTATTGACTCCTTAGTCACCCCGCAGACGCATCCGGACCCAACTATACTTTGTACATTGGATGTGTCTGAAGCCTTAGAGGACCTTCAAGGTTAGTGGTCGGCAAGGGACCCTCGTGAGTCCTGGGTGGCACTAAGCTGAGGTCCTAGAGGGGAGCACTTCGTTGTGGAAGTTGGTTTGGGTGGTCGCAAGTGCGGCGCCTTCGTAGACATTGGCTCCACGTGAAACTTCATAAGTCGCGACTGCGTTGAGAGACTGTGCCTAAAGGACCAGGTGCAATGCCTTAGTAGACCGGTAGCATCTACTTTGGCCAACAAAGAACGCATGATGGTGGAGAACTACGTTAAAGATGTAGTCTGCACTTTCTCCTACCCTGGAGGAGAGTTAAATCATAAGATATCATTCCTGGTGAGCGACGATCTGCCCTTTGACATGTTGTTGGGCATGTACTACCTCGAGGTTGCCAAGCCCCAGTTTGACTAGGACAAGAAGGTGTTGAAGCACGAGTTGCCTAATGGGAGGACCGTTAGACTGGCTAAGTATAAAGCCAGAAGGTTAATAGACTCCTATGGGTGCTTACGCGCATCTGCCTTCTATAACTATTATAAACAGAACCAAGAGGAAGGAATGTACTTAGTCTATGTCTCTGCAAAAGGAGAGGTCGTTAAAACACCCCAAGAGATAGAGACAATCGCCGCTAAGTACCCTGATCTGTTCGAGGAGCCCTCAGGAGTCGTAGACAGGGAGGTTGTCCAGGCCATAGAGATCATCCGAGGTAGCAAGACCTCCTAAACCTACAAGGGAGTACATAGTACATTTCAGGCATCATACTGATCCTAAGGAAGATCGATGGATTTCAAGGGAGGAACTTATCAAGACAACTCCTCATATCGTGGCAGATTATGAAAAGAAACAGAAGGGGAAGGCACCAACATGAAGCATCTCAACGGACTTTCGAAGCTAAGGGGGATGAAATGCGAGGAACGGGCCCTAAAGGGGCCCTATCAGACATTACATGTTTTGGACTAAGGCCCCCAGCAAGCCGAGTGCCCGCCCTAAGTGAAGGCGGGCCTGAATATTCGTCAATGCCAAAAATTCGACATTTCCATTTGTGGGTATTCAGGCTCTCGCAGCACGCCAGTTGGTTGGGTAGACGCGTGAGCCTCACTAAGTTGCGCCGTATAGTTGGCTCAAGCCTTGACAGCTGCGCCTCGGCACATACACACAAAGCAGGGCCGATACATTGGAAAAGCAGTACGGCCGACACACCCACCTGGGAGCCCTGCACAGATGCAGCAAACAGCCCAAGTCCGGAGACTCAAGTCGTGCCCAACTGAAAAGGGCCCAGGCCCTCAACTGTAGTCTCGGGCCTGGGCGCAGGGTCTGAGGCCCAACCGGAAGCTACTGGAAGCTTCCACCCAGGCCACACGCAGCATCCAGAAGGCTGCCACTTCCATAAAAGAAGTGAGGCAGCCCAGGTTAGGCATTCTGGCCAATGCAGGCAATGTGGAAGTGTTGTTGCGCTATCGCTTGATGCTGCGCTGCTGCAAAGGGCGCTGACAAGGCGCGTAGTGGTGAAGTGGGGCGCAGGCGGCCATAGCCGGGCTGCTGGGCACCAGGGGGTACAACGGGTGATCTGGTGGTCTTCAGGGAAGGAGGCGCAGTGTCTGGTAATCAAGGTCTGATTGAGGGTGACGAGATACGTTGTCAGGCGGCCACAGGCAGTGCGCCGCCTGAGATCCGCAGTTTTGCGACTTAGGCTCAGGGCCAGGTCCGTGTTTTGATGGAAGTCTCGTAAGACCA